GAATCTCCATGAAGCTTGTTAAAGAGATTTTGAAAAAGAACCCATGTTGTGGCATCTTTTGGTTCACAAAAAAATTTTGACAGTACCATACTAATTCTGAGTCTTCAGCAATTCTGAGTTTTCAGAGATTTAAAGCAAAATACAAAAGCATAACTTGACATACTATACATAGTAGGGAAACACTGTAGAAATGAATGGAACTCAAAAGATTTGGTCTATCTACATTTTCATTAAGTTTTTGTTTAGTTACGTGCATATGTTTGTAGGTGTAGGAGGTACCTCAGAAGATAGTGTCAGATCGCCTGGAGTTAAAGTGATAGAGGATTGTGAGCTACCTAAGACAGGTGATATTGGGAACTGAATTCAGGTCCTCTGCAAAAGCAGTACGTGTTTTTTTTTTGTTTTTTGTTTTTTTTTTTTTGTTTGTTTGTTTGGTTGGTTGGTCGGTTGCTTCTTTGAGACAAGGTTTCTCTGTGTAGCATTGGCTGTTCTGGAACTCTGTAGACCAAGCTGGCCTTAAACTCACCTGCCTCTGCCTCCCCAGTGCTGGGATTAAAGGTGTGCACCACTGCCCAGCCAGTATGTGTTCTTAACTGCTGGGCTTTCCCTCTAGTCTCAACTTTCGTTTCTTGAACAGATTCTTAAGTAGTCCAAGAGAGGCTCAAACTCATTATGTAGCTGAGGCTAGCCTTAAATTCCTAGATCCTCCTGCTTCTTCCTTCCAAGTACTGGGATTATAGGCATGTGCCATCACATGAAACTATCTGCATTATTTGACATTATACTTCTTCCTATAATTTGCCAAAAAGACCAAACGAAGCAAGGCAGGAGGGGCAGAGCTGTTCAAGCTGGGTCTCCCCAGCTCCCCCTCCCACACACTCTTCCCGCTGGTGTGGCACCTGAGCAGTCCCGTGACACTGGAAGTTCCCCGGTCCACAATCCGCAGCACCTCCCCTGTGCGCCGGCCAAGGTGCCAGCGCAGTGAGAGTTCATGCAGATGGGAGAAGAGGCGCAGCTCCACACCTCGGGATGTGAACTGCTGCACTCGGATCCACAGGAAGGTTCTTAGGTTGCTCACAAAACCTGGGGAAGCCAGGGAGGCCTTAGTAGGTCTTGGGGGCTGAGAGAGATGAACCCAGCATTAGCGGTCTAAGTGCCCAAGGGGCCTGTGGAAGGAATATCGGAAGCAAGGCGGTGAGGGAGTTCCCATGGGAGAGACTGATGCCAAGCAGGGTGAAAACAGAATCCCTCATACCTGTACTGCCAGTGCCACCCCCCTGGAGGAACTTGAGGAAGACATAGGTGGTAACAGTCCAGGCCAGGGAGCTCCAAGGAGCCTTCTCAGTCAGTAAGTTCACTGTGGATCAAAGGCATCAGGGTCCGCTCCCAACAACCAGGGCTCTCTAAGGCAGAACTGCCCGAGGCTCTGACCGCCCAGCTCCCACCTCTGCCTAACCTCCCTAAGCAAGGGCCACCCCAGCCACTAAGCTGAACGTACCCCTCCACCCCCTCACCAATGTCCCTATAGAAGATGGGGACCAACACATTGAGTGCTCGGTCCAATCCCATGAGCCCCAGGCAGATGAGCACGATCAGCTGTAGTGCTGGACTCCCCCGAGGCCACAAGTAGCTGCTCAGTAAGCGGAGCTTCCTGCCAAGGTCTCTCCAGGTGGACTGCCGGTCTGCTGAGCCGCCCTAGGAAGACGGCACACAAGAGGGATGCTTATTGACCAAGAAGTGTGCTTGCTCGCCCAGGTATCTTTGGGGAAAAATCTATGGGACTGCAGGTATCTGAGGCTCACAAGTGATCCTTCTCAAGGTTAGGAAAGCCACTACATCACATACTGAACTTTGGGGTGAGAACTAATCCAACTCAAGGGACAGGATTATCGCACACCTCAAGACATTTCTTTTCCCAAAGTCTGGCTCTTGGACAAGTCCGCATTTGCTTCTCAGAGACTGAGCGAATAATTCTACTTGCTAAAAGGAGTAGCAAAAAGGGCATTCAGAGAGGCCTGGGAAGTAGCTTGGTGGTAGGGCACATGCTTAATATTCATAAGGTCCTGGGTTCTATCCCCAGCACATGTACAAAGATATACCCTTGACTGAGAAAATTAGGTACGCCTGGTTCCCTTTTTGTTTTGTTTAGTTTTGTGTTTCGAGACAGGCTTTTTCTGTGTAACAGCACTGGCTGTCCTGAAACTCACTCTGTAGACCAGGCTGGCATTGAACTCACAGAGATCTGCCTAACTCTGAAATTAAAGGCGTGCGGCATCACACCTGGCATACCTGGTTCCTTTCTACATCTTGGTCTTCTTCATGAACCCGCAGTGTGTAAGACTGGGGGCGAAGTCCAGGGGCCCAGAGCCCCAGGATAAATAGCCCTCCAGAGGTCACATAGCGCACAACCCACAGGCCAAACTGAACCTAGATGGAAACAGAGCACAGGTGTGAACCAGGATCCAAACCTTATTGTATTACTTCTTAGAACCCTCAGATGCTTCCCAGGGGCCTAGCAACAGGTTAAAAAAAAAATTACCACAGTGACTCAGCACAGACACACCCCATTCAATGCTGGCTTTCCCCACAGCTGGCTATCAGCTTCCAGCCACTGCCAGACCCTATTTTTTTTTTTTTTTTTTTAAAGAGTTATCCTACAGCATGGAGCCAGTAGGTCCAGATGTAGTACTTAATCAGACATCAGTACTTCTCCCCAGAAGGCCCCTTACCTTCTGGCCCAGATCTGCCCTGGCCCACCACCACTGTGGGCTGTTCCAAGATACCAGGGCCAAGTTCTCAGCTGCAAATGCCACAGTCCAGAGGAGCAGGAGACCCAAGCTATGTCTGAACTTTATCCAGACGCCCATTGCCAGACTCTGTCGTGCCTGGCTCCGTTCCACCACCAGCAGCCACAAGCCACAGGCGCTGGCCAAACTCTCCAACATGGAAGCCAGCAGTAGGTAGCCTGGCAGACGGGCCCCCCGAGCAGTGCCTACTCGGCCAGCCAGACCAGCCAGGGGCAGTGCCATCTGAAGTATGGCCAGAACCAGCTGCAGCGCATAGGGCGACACCCGAGGGGCAGCTGCCCAAGATAGTTCCTCCGTGCCAGCGGGTACCTCTCGGCGCCTGCAGGGAAGAACCAGCACCAAGGCCAGTGCCCCCAGAGTCAGGAGCGTCGAGGGCACGAGCGTGAAGAAGAAGCAGGGACTCAAGCCATTCTGAGTCCAAGCCGGACCCACCGGCCCTTCGGCCTCGCAGTAGTTGCCCACTGTCACCATGGCGATGTGTGGCTGCTGGCTAAACTTGAGGTCGCTGCAGGATCAGAGAGTCGGGCTGGCCATTCAGAAAAGGCCGCAGATTCCAGTTGTCTTGGGACATGGAGCTACGCCGCTGGGGTCGCGGAGAGGGACACACGTGGACCTGCCACCCTGCTCACTGTCTTTGCGCACGCGCCGCCCCCGCGCACACTCACGCAAGCCACGCACGCCGTGATTGTCGGGTCTCACTCGCCAGCCGCTGGGACCCTCGGGCCCAGGGCAGCCGCACAAAAATGTTGTGCCCTTTACGGCAGCGGCCCCGCCCACCAGATCTACCCAGGGTTCCCATTGGCCAAGCGTGACGAACGCAACTAGAAGGGCCGGGAGCCGGCGGGGTCACGTGCTCAGGGCGGGAAATCTGACCTGAGTCTGACCGGAGACCTTGACCTCCACAGAATTGTTCGTCTGAATCAGCTATACCTCTGTAAATAGCTTTTACAGTTTAACCCAGCAGGTCTCCGAATCTTCAGTTCCCTGTCTTAGTGCTAGAAATCAAACCTAGGGCCTTACACATTAGCAAGCTACTGAAATACACTGGAAGGATCCTTCTTTTTGAGTCCTAGCTCTGGATCCCTGTGGTGCCACAGCTCGTGTTCTCAGAGTCTCCCAGCCAGGTCTCTTACAGTCCTAAGACCCCAGATGAATGGAAAAAAAAAAAAAAAAAAAAAAAAAGCCATAACCTGATCAAAGTCCCTTCTTTATTAAGGGTTATCAAGCTGTACAGGGTTCCCACCCTGTTTGCTGTGGGCTGGGACAGCAGAGTCCGCCACCTTCGGCATAGTTGACCTCCCACAGACGAACGTGCTGGGGAAGGGAGTAGGGGGTTAGGGTAGGAGCTGAATCCCAGCATGCAATGTCAAAACCCTAGGCTAGGGTGGGTTGGTTATCCCTTCACCCTCCTCCAGGTAAGGTAGGGATGCAGGGCAGAGCTCTCTTGCTGGGATATGGATAACTGAGGTCACATTCCTGCCCTGTCGGTCCCCTGTGCAGGTGGTAGGAGGACAATAAGTAGAGTGGGGGCCCAGGAAGGCCTCACACTCCCAAGTGCCCACCCTAGAAGTTGAGGAGGGTATTAAAGAGCTTTCATTCTGTTCCTGCAATTCAGAAACCTTCCATCTTAGTGTCAAAAGATAGTGTGAGGGGGGCTGGGAGCTAGGGCTCGCACCCTACCGAAGAGCAAAAGCCAAACAGAAGGGGGGGGGGGGCAGGCGAACAGAAAGGGAGCAAGCAGCACACACATGCTAGTGATGTGCAGGGAGCAGAGGGGAGGAGAGCTGGCTGCGGCACTAGGTGAGGACTGGAGGTGAGGTGAGGTAAGGACCGCAGCCTGAGCTGCTCAGCTATTCCAGCTGCAGAGGTTGAGGGTTCGGGCCCTGCCTCCCCACTCCACAGTTGGCACAGGTTCTTCAGCTTGGCAGCTTCTGTGGCAGGAAGCCCTCTGGAGACTTGCAGGGGTGGATGCAACGATGGCAGTACTGGGACTGGGCTGGGGACCAGTTTCTAGCACCACACTCTGAGCCAAGGGAGACCTGGGGAAGAGGCTAGAGTCTTGTGTGCCCCTCGTCCCTAGGCCTCACATTCTTCTTGGGCTTCGGCAAGCCCAGGGTTGGCACCTCCCGTGGCCAGGCAGGGACACACAAACACCACACACGTGGGGCCAGGCGACACTCTGAGAAGCCCTCTCATGGCAGGCAGATGGATGGCAGGGCAGCTGTTGCCTCCATCCTGGAGCACGGGGACCCACTTCTGCCTTGTCTATACCTGTAGAGAAAAAAATGACTGTAGTAAAGATAGTCTTCAGCTATCTTCTTGCCATACCGGAGTCTAGAAATAAAGGAAAAAAGCTGAGCCTGGGGAAGGAAGCCTTGAACTTCAGAGCAGTAAAAGGAAGAAAGTGGTTTGTTTTTTTTTTCTTTTTAAAAATTTATCTGTGAATATGGGTTTTTCCTGCATGTAATTCCGTGAATCGTGTGTGTAGTGCCTGTAGAGGCCAGAAGAAGGCAACTGATCCTCTGGGACTGGGGTTACAGACGGTTGTGAGTCACCATGGAAAGGCTGGAAATTTATCCTGGGTCCTCTGGAAGAGTCCCCAGTGTTCTTAACCACTCTCCATGCGCAAGTAAGTGTATTCTGAAGGGGAGTAGACAACACATGGGCGAAGTAATAGACACTACAGGAGGAGCTGTGCTTCACTGGAATCTACCACGTCTGGCATGTTCTTGACCTTACAGCCCTTACCTTGTGCACTTGAGGGGGCAGCTCATCCTCCGAGCCTTCCTCTGGCACGGGCTCTGGGTGTCTTGACGCTGGCTGCCCGTCTTCTGCCCATCCTCCCAGGGGCAGCCTGGAGAAGTGAGAGGGAGCACGGGGAATTGTGCCAGGATCTAGAGAAAGAAACGAGAACACAAAGAACCACATGAAGGTCTTGGGGACTACTTGGAGGCTTAGTCTCCTGGACCCCATCCCACTGCTCTCTTTCTCTGAAAGAACCTCCTTGCTTTTATACTCCCACTGGGTACCTGTGATGCCCCCGTAGCGCCTCTGGAAGCCCCCATGCAGGGCGGTGGTCTCGGGTGCCCCAGGCCGGGGTGTAGCACAGGGATAGCTGGCAGAGCGAGGGATGGGTTGGGGTGCCCGGGCACCCTCTCCCCCTTCTTCAGGGGCACTCTCTCCACTCTCATCACTCTCCCGGCGGTGCCATACATGCCGCTCAGGCTCGGCCTGGGTCTGCTGCTTGTGGAGCTGGAGAAGTGGGGGACTGATTAGTTGGGAACAGAAGGATGTCTATCTGAAACAGCTGTCCCCAGCGCAGTCTCTTCAATTCCCACTCACAAACTCTCACCTAGAATTCTAGACACACAGCATCTCAGGTGTTAGTAGTGTACAAAAGGTGTGTGATGCTCTATGGATGTCCAGGACACCCCTGGAAAAGTCTCTCAGTAGCTCAGGTTGATCCTGAACTCAACATGCAGTTGAGAATGACACTGAATTTCTGATCCTCCTGACTTCGTCTCCCCTGGGACTACAGATGTTTCGGTAGTGCTGGGGATGGCATCCCAGGCCTTGTACATGCTAGGCAAGCACTCTACTAACTTAGCTACATCTCCAGCCTTTCATTCTACCTGCTCTTTGATGAAAGAACAAGTTAACAGAGGGTCTCGGTACCGGTACTGTTTGAGGTACTCAGAACACAGCAGTGAACAAATAGCTTTGCCAGCACTTGGAGGTCTTTTACACTAGTGGTGGTGCTTGTGAGGAAAAACAGACCGTAAACTATTAAATAAAGATGAGGCAAAACAAAACGAAACAGACAAGAATGTCTGACAGCACCAGATGCTGTGGAGAAAAACAGAACAAGAAAATTCAGGAGACAGCTGTGACACTCATTGTGAGGCAGCAGAATGGAGACCAATCTCCATAATCAAGAGTCAGGCTCTGTTGTAAAAAGCCAAGGGGAAAAAAAAAAAGAAAGAAAGAAAAGGGTGGAAGGGAAGGAGAAGAAGAGAAGGAAAGGGGGTGGAAGGAAAAAGATTCAGGAGGAGTTGGGCCTGCAGGCCCAGGCCTGTCATGCTAGCCACTTGGGAGGCTGTGGAAGAAAGATCACAAGTTCAAACAAAGTGAATTCAAGGCCAGCCTAGGTAACATAGTGAAAATGGCTCTCAGAATAATAAAGAAAAAAAAGGCTGAGGAGAAAGCTCAGGGCTTGCCTAGTATGTCCAAGGCTCTATGTTTAATCCTTAGTACTAAAAGAAAAAAAAATCTAGATGGATCTAGTGCAGATGGGAAGCTTTTACTGAGAACCATTAGGAAAAATCTTGGAGATCGCAGGAGGAGGAGAAAGGATCCTAGGTAAGGAACAGGCAAGTATTCTTGGCTAAAGATGCCATTAATAAGATATATGTGACAGCTGGGCCTGGTGCCACAGGCCTATAATCCTAGCACTCTGGGAGGCAGAGGCAGGTGGATCTCTGTGAATTCAAGGCCAGCCTGGTCTACAAAGTGAGTTCCAGAATAGCCAGAAGAGAGAAACCTGTCTCAATCCCACCCATCTCCCCCAAAAGAGGACATTTGTGAAAATGTAGACTCCAGAGCAGGTAAGGGATAGCAAAGGGCCAAAATCTATTTATCAGCTGCCCACTCACCTGGTGCATATAGAGGGCATGGAGGCTCATCTCAGTGGACGCGTATTCTGACAGCACCAGGCTCTGCAGCTGTCCTTCCCACACGCTGCTCCCGGAGCTGGCTGTCCTGGCATCCACTCTGTCCCTCCCAGCACAGACAGCAGTTATCAACATTTGTAAGACTGATACAGGTTTCTGTGGGCTACTGCCATGCCCTCCCATCATGACCCACCTCCACTCACCCAGAGCCTGTCATGGTGCTGGGAGCCCGGCCTTGAAGGGCCTGTCCAGGTTGCAGAGGGGAGAAGGAGCGAAGAGCAGAAGCAACCTCAGCCCTGTGCCTAGAGCCTTGCAGGTCTCTGGACAGTGGGGGTCCCCGGCATGATGAGCCGGCTACCACATTTGCAATAAGGCTCAGGGGCTATGAAGAGAAAGGGGTGAGCAGAATCATCAGGGCAGGGAGAGGCCTCTAGGTCCTCTAATCTCCTGAACCTCAGGAACCAATGGCCAAGATTAACTAGAAGAGGAAACCTTCCACCCCGTGTCCCGCCCAGGCCTTAGATACACACCTCAGACTCGGACTGTAAGGACTGGATGGATGTGAAAAGGGCATTCTCGGGGAGAAGACCACCTTGGGTGAGGCCAGCAGCTGCTCCATCTCGCTGAACCTGCTCCTTGAGGAAGCCCAGGAAAGCTGTGCTCTCCCGAGGTGGCTGCCAGCCGGGGTTAGTGATGGCAAAGTGCATGAGCGAGAGCTCCGTCTTCCCGTCCTCAGCTTGCTGGTACACTGAGGCCTCGGTCTGCCCTCCAGACAGCCACTGTGCAAGGCAGAATGCAGTGAGCAGGCTCGCGTGCTTGCAGGAACCCTTTCTGGTGGCCTGTGGTACACTGTCTACCTGTGGAAGCCCCACTGTCCACCCTGGGAGCGGCCACACACCAGGTCATTCACTCGCGCTGTGCTTTTCTCCAGGGAGTGTGACTGATAGTTCAGATCAGGACTGGAATCCAGCCAGATTCCTGGTGTGTGTCCCTGGTGCAGCCATGCCCACAGGCGGGCCGCCTTTTTGTGATTTGTTGGCTTAGAAAGGGGAGCTTTTTGCAGTTTTCCCAAGGCTGCTACGTTGTCAACATTGTCCCTGACCATCTGCCCTGACCTCTCCCAGTAGGTACCTGAGGGTGACCGTGCTGGCGAACATCCATCTGAGCAAAAGAGCAGGTGTCTCCAACGCCAACAACCTCTACAGTAAAGTTGCGGAAGAAGTCTATGATCTCCAGGGCCCGTGGGCGTAGGCAGAAGATGAGAATGAGAGGTGTCACAATGGGGCTCAGCAACTCCTCCAAGATGAACACCTAAAAGGGAGGAGACTAAGGTTACGAGCAAGCAGGACACAGCCCAGTCCTTATCAGCGACACACCAGTCAGTCTCTAGCAGGCCCTAGCTCCAACTCCACTCACTGCCTTGTACTGGAAGAGCTGGGCAAACTCGTCCCGGGTCTGCGAGCGGTGGGCATTACCCTGCCAGTGGTCAGGCATGTAGTGGATATGAGCAAGGATCACTCGGAGCAGCTGCTCAGGGCAGAACACCATGTGCTGATCTGGGATGAAGGACCTGGTGGGGAAAGGTTTGTGATGAGATACAAGCCTTTCCCAGCATGCTAGTCTGCTTATTCGCACCCACGGCCCTGGCACACCTGCACACAGTCACTGTGACTCCCAGAAGTGTGACGGTGGTGAGGACGTGTTCCACAGCCAACACATCTTCATCATAGATAGTGAGAGCAATAAGCACAGCCAGGATAGAGCCGGCGAAGAAGGCGCCGTTCTTGGCCAGCAGCGTCAGCAGTGGTGACAAGAAGCAATTCATGTACTTGGAGGCAGGCTTGTAGCCTCGGTTGAGGCGGGACTGCAGCTCATGTTCCAGTTCATTGAAGTGGCGGAGGTAGCAACGGCCATAGAGCGACCAGCAACGCGCTCCCAGGGCCCCAGGCTCTCTCTTCAGCACCTCGGCATAGCTGAAGAAGGCGTAGAGGATCTGCCAGATGAGGATGAGGGGACACAGCAGGAAGTTGGCAATGCCGATCCACAGGATGCGGTTGCTGAGGCGCTGGGCCAGCTCAAGCCGCTGGCCCCCACGTTTGTACTCAGCCTTGAGGCTCCATTCATTGAGGAACAGAGAGCCAGGACCCCAGAAGAGGATCAGCTCAAAGTTGTACTTGAGGCCTCGGGTGAAAAAGACAACCTCTCCGAGCCCGGGCAGGCGGAAGCGCAGGGGCAAGAGGGACTTATTCACCAGGGCCACCATGTAGTTCTGGAAACGCAGGATGCGATGGTAGATATCCAGCTCTGTCAGCTCACGCTTGTGGATACAGATCTGGTGCTCTTTCTGGGTCTGCACAATCCGGGCCTGCACTTCCTGCCATGTGCAATATGGAAGGGCAGACTGCAGGGGAGGGTGGACAAGAGACAAAGTGTAAAAGATGTTACCTGAGACTCACAGACAAACTCTGGGAAAAGTGCAAAGAGTTATAGGAAAGAGGATGGAAATAGAAGGACCCGGAGGGGACGGGAGCTCCATTAGAAGACCAACAAAACCAACAAATCTGGGCGGGGGGGGGGGGGGGGGGTAGAGACTGATGCAACAACTAAGGAACATGCATGGAGAAAACCTAGACCCTCTGCTCAGAGCAAATACGCAGCTCAGTCTCTATATGGGTGCCCTAGTAAGGGGAGCAGAGGCTGTCTCTGACATGGACTCTGTTGCTTGCTCTCTGATCACTTCCCCTTGGTGGGGGAGCCTTGCAGGGCCACAGAGGAAGAGGATGCAGGCAGTCCTAATGAGACTTGATAGGTTGGGGTCAGATGGTAGGGGAGGAGGGCTCCCCATTTCTGAGGCCTAGAGGAGGGGGAAGAAAGGAAGAGGGAGGAGGGTGAAATGTGGAGGAGACGAGGGAGGGGGCTACAATTGGGATGTAAAGTGAATAAATTATTAAAAATAAATTTAAAAAAGATGTTACCTGAACTCTTCAAGTCATGTGCTTAGATGAGAGATCTGACTGTTCTAGATCTGCTGTTCTAGTTGTGGATTTTCCCTCAAAGGCCCATGTGTTAAGAGCTTGGTCCCCAGGCAGTGGTACTATTAGCAAATGTTAATATGCTTAAGAGATAGGGCTAGAGGGATTAAATTAGGCTAAGGGGGCTGCTCTTGGATGAAATCATTGGGACTTTGGATCCCGGCCCTGAAATAAGAATTTTGGTTTCTTTAAACACCCAGTTATGTTATATGAATATATTTGTTTTAATCCCAGGTATGGGATTTGGGGCTGCTTCGGATTGTCCACAGCAGCTAAATATAATGTGCCTTGTGCCCAGGCAAGGGCTTGTGCTTTGGCAAGGGTGTGATTTGTGGCAGCTGCAGAGGGACTTGCCTCAAGGAAGTAATCAGCAGGAAGTAGTCTAAAAAGACGCCTACAGACCATTTCCCCTCTAAACTCTTTTCTCTCCTAGTGTTGGGGGATTGGAAGGAATATGGGTTGGAAGGTAGAAGTATAAGAACCCAATAAAATAGATAAACAAATGCACCAACACACCCTTTCTTGCTTTCCTCTCTACTTCCTGGCTGCCATGAAGTGAATAGGCTTCACCTGTCATGTACTCTTGCCATAATATACTGCCTTACCACAGTCCCCAAAGCAACTGGACCAACCAACTATAGACTCGAATCTCCAAAACTAAGCCCAAATCGATCTATTCTCTTTATACACTGATTATCTCAGATATTTTTTCACATTAACAGAATATGGACTAGCATACCCGCCAGTGAGAGCTATGGACATATGATGTTCAGGAATATACCTCATCCTTCCTAAGATGTCTTGGGCTATGTTGCTAATGGCCCAATTTCTGGTCTTACCATTGGGATACGCAGAGCATGCAGGTAGAAGGAGTGGATCTCCCAATAGCAGCAAATGTTATAGATGAACTTGATAAGCCGGTGGATCCAGAAGACACCAGCAATGACCAGGATAGTGATGAGAGAGCCATTTTCCTGAATCCTGGTAGGAAAAAAGAAGGGGAAGTAGGGTCTTTGAGCATGGAGTCTTGGCAACAGGTTCTGGAGTCTGAGTCACTACCTCATACCCCACTCTACTCTCTACCCACTAGCAGTGTCTCAGCATCATCCTCACCTGGCACTACAAACTTGGGCGGGCAAAAAGGCGTCTGGCAAAGTGACCTTGACAGGCTCAGTAGGATGAAGGCTGTGGTTCACCATCTTGTTGGCAAATAGGATGTCATAGTCCACACAGCTAACCAGGAAGGTGGTGAAGGCAACCACAAAGAGGAACTGCCTGGGGGGTTGAAAAGAAGGAATGCAGGCCAAGAGTCAGAGAGATGGCAACAAGCAAAGAGGTTAAAGAGCACTGAACAAGATGGGAGACTAAAGGGGCTAGAGCATTCCTCATGGGCTTTGTCTGATGCTCAATCTTCCAGGACCTTCTAGGCACAAACTTTAATTATTTGGATAGATTTTTTTTTTTTTTTTTTTGTATTTTGAGACAGGATTTCTCTACAAAGCCCTGGCTATCCCAGAACTCTCTTTGTAGACCAGACTGGCCTTGAATTCACAGAGACCTGCCTCTGCCTCTGGAATGTTGGGATTAAAGGTGTGCACCACCACAAGGCTGTGAACTCCTTTCTTATCATCAAGAACTCCCTTCCTGCTGGGTGTAGGGGCTCAAGCCTTTAATCCCAGCAGTTCGAAGGCATCCTGATCTACAGAGTTCCAGGACAGTCAAGGCCACAGGGAGAAACCATGTCTCAAAAATCCAAACAAAACCAAAACCAAATAAACCAACTCTCCCCTTCCCAACTCCTCCCCTCTGGCAAGAGTGTTTCTACACTCTTCTACACTACAAAGGCTCTCTACTCCAGTAGCGGGGCTAAAGTGCAGTCAGGCAGAATACAGGCTCTTTCCTCCTGACTGAACCACACATACCCTCCTTCAGCCTTGATGGAATAACTAAATTGAAAGGTCTTGTCATGAAAGAGATTGGACCCAGAAAGCTCTTCTTACAAGATGTGTGGCTGCAGGTTTTAACTGGGCATGGTGGTGCACACCTTTAATCCTAGCACTCTGGAGGCAGAGGCAGGCAGATCCCTTTGAGTTCTAGGCCAGCCTGGTCTACAAAGAGAGTCCAGGACAGCCAGGGCTACACAGAGAAACCCTGTCTTGGGGAAAAAAAAAAAAAAAAAGCAAGGCAATAATACCTCATCCTGAGATTAAAGGTTTGCAGAATTTGGGGCCTAGGGCTGAATTTTGCTCATGTAGCTGGTCATGAGCAAAAGGGAAGACCAGGATAAGCATTCCTTTGCCACAGCATGTATTCCTTTGTGTACTTACATGAGTTCAAAAATCTCTCCAATGAGCATACATGTGAAGCCATTCTTCTGATGTAAATTATAAACGTGTAAGTGTTAAGGAAAAGTGGCCAGTAAGCAAAGACACTTAAGAATACAAGATTTGGTGTCAACATACTCCCAAGTCCTGAACTATCACTCTCTAGAGTGTGATCTTTTACAAGTTACTTCTCTAAGCTTTGTCCACTGTAGCAAATTAACAGTAACCATCCCTATCTTTTAGAATCATTAGGTTTAGGAAAGTGCATTCATAGGATTTAACACAGAAATGACAGTCAAAAGACATCATTACCTTTAATGGTCCTATTAAAAAACGTTTCCTTATAAATTAACACCCTTAGAAAAGTTCTTCATAAATTAACACAAGTGGACAGAGCTCCCGGCAAATATGAGGCATCATTATTTTTAACAGTCATTATTTCAGAATGAGTTTCATTTCCCCATGCATAGACTGGAGTGGGACTCATCCCCATTTCCTATCAGGGACCTAGCTCAGAGAACGGTTTCTACAAGGTCCCAGAGTGCCAGCACAGAGCCACAAAGGATATTCGAGAGAAGAAGAGGTCAAGGTTTTCGATGTGGTGCCAAGGTGCTGTGGACACAGGAGCAGAGATGTCAGAAAACTGAGGTAGCTCTCCCCACTGCTGCCCTGCTCCCAGTGTTCCGCCAGTAACTCTGGCCCATGCCCCTGCCCTGCTCTGACTGTCATGTCCCAAAACTCACATTTGCTTCCCTCAGCCACATGCACCAACAGGTCCTCTTCCCCTGGGGGTGAATCGCTATAAGAGGCCTCTAGGCGCTGGTACTCAGTGTCAAACTGTGCCATCACCGCAGCCCCCTGTCCACCTTGTTAACCTGTCAGCGGGGAAGAGTAGAACCTGTATCAGACCCAGGCACTGTCTACTTACTGTCTTCCCAACAGGCCAGAAGGAATGAGAAAGAATCCTTGGGATTTGTTTAACCACTAACCTCCTTGGCTCAGAAGCAGGACAGGGATAATAATCCAAGAAGAACAGTAAGCTTGGGACTTAAGGGAGCCTTAACTCTGGTCATCATTCCCAGGACCTTTACTGGGAGGCTACTGTGCCAGAATCTGCCCCTTTGGTGTGGGGTGAGTTCATCTTCTGTCCAGTGAAGAGAAAGTTTCCTCCCTGCCCCTGAAAACCCTGGTCCCTACAGACACTATCAGTTTGGAAGCATTTTTGTAAACAAATGTTTAAGATAAGCACATGGCCCTACCAGCTCCATGGACAGTTTCTGCTCCACGCCAGTCCTGGATGCCCTGGTTGGACAGCTGCTGGAGGAAAAGGTGTCAGGCCTCAAAGAATGGGGAGTTGGGACAGAAAGGGATCCAACCCTCCCACCAACCCAAGCCCCACTAAGAGGAGGGCAGAAAGATGGGAAAGAGGCATCTTTCCAGTTGTGACAGGTGTCTCCCCTGATGTTCTCTGTAGGAACATTCATCTCCTCTGAGGATACCCAGGAATAACTAAACTCTGACCGTGTGGAGACTGAGTCAGTACAGGTCAGAGTCCACACAGCCCTTTGGGACTATTCTATCTTTGGTCTACCTCAGCTTCAGAAAACAGCCACGCTTTTCAGACTCCAGGAAACCCCAAAAGAGAATCTTCTCAAGATTTTTCTGGACAATTCCTTCTGCTTCTCTAGCATCAGAGACCTAGGCAGGCATGGCTGCTAGGTGGGAAATTTCCACTCAATGTAGACTGTAGATCCCGGTTGAGTAAGTGGATTCCCTGGGTGCCTAGTGTCAGGTGGGGTCAAGGTGGTATGGTATATTCCCAGTCAGTGAAGAACTGGGGACGGTGGATCTTGGTCGGACCTCGTCCCAGAGGGAGTCCCTCGGTTAGTAAAAGCCCTTGGGCCTCAGAAAACACACTCACCTGGTCAATGTAGACCCAGGGCCCATGGATCTCCCCAGGAAGGGCCTGTGCTCAGGGGTGTCTGTGGATGGTGGAGGGGTCGAGCCAGACCTACAGCTGATATCCCTGGTGGGCTGGGATGCCTCCCCAATCCCAGCCACCTCGACCTGAGCACAGAGTGCCCCAGGGTCGCCCGGCCCCAGGCCGGGGGCTAGGCTCCCAACAGCGGACAACCCGGCGCGCGGCCCCGGCGCACGCGCGCTCCCCTGGCCGCGCGCGCCCTCTATCAAAACATTCTGGCTGCGCGCCCCCGGCCCGCCCGCGGCTCCCCTTCCCCCGTTACGCATCGCAAGCTCACTTGGGGCTTTGTGGGCACCCCTGGCCAGCTTGGGCCTGGGTCTGGGGATTCCAGTTACCAGCCTCGCGTGTCACCGCAGGAACCGCGACCCGGGCGATTCCAGAAGCTTGGTTTGTTCTGGGCTCGGTCAGACCCGGAGCGCTAGGCCGTCCGTCTGTCATTCACTGTCACTTCCAGCTAGTCTGGCCAATCAACAGAGTGGGTGGAGACATGACGGCCAATTCTTGGCCCAGGGGGCAGGACGGAAGGTAGGAGGCGGGTGTTGGAGAGCAGAGGACCAATAGTATGCTCTACGTGGTGAGGGGCTGGGCTACCGGCGCTCTAGTTTGTCCCATTCGCCACCCCGTAGATGCAAGATTGTTGCGGTGTTGCAGAAATCCAGCTTTCGAACTGTGGACGTGCATGCGGCTCGGCTGACGGGACCTTAGTAGCGACTTCTGGGGTGGGGGGTGGGAGGACGAGTGACGAGGTTCGGTGTCGGCGCTAGTCGATCGGTTGGGTAGCTTCCGACTGGTAACTGCTGGACTGGATTTGAGTCTGGGTGTTCTCCTTTTAAGACCCTAAACGTATTTACCGCAGAACTGAATTGGTGCCAGTGAGTGAGGGCCGAGGGGTCTTTCTGCGTGCGGTTGGCCAAGCCGGGCCAGCTGGAGACGCAGTAGTAGAGTCTTTGGAGGACTGTTTCTCCCCTTCGTTCCTGCTCCAGGAGCTGCTTCTGAATAGTTCTTCAGCCATGGCGCCGGCTCCAGGTGCAGCCTCAGCCCCTGCCTCGGTCTCCCTGTTGGACCTCAGCGTGGACGCTCCACTCCTTCGGGGCCTGAGCCTGGTGAGCCAAGCTCCCGGTGATGCTCTGACCGGGGCGCCGCGTCCTTCCTGTCCAGGTATCCGGGGTGCTTTGGGGTGGACCTCTGAGGAACGTCACAGGGTTCCGTGTCAACACTGAAGACTTTCACACCGTGCTTTCCCAGTTTAGGAATCCACACTGACTCCTTCTGTTGGACACATTTTCCTCCAACACGTTTCAACCTTGGGTGGTTTACAGTGCTGTGGCGTATGAATTGTCGCCAAATAACTAGCTGATGTTTATATCTAGTCAGATTCATACAACTGCTTTTAAAACTCAGTTCCTAGGTCTCTTTGCCTGTGTTTTCTTGCATTTTTCTTAGGTTGCCTGTCCATTGTAACTGGAACTGTAAGATGTAAATTGGCATTTAGGAACTGGTTATATATAGTTAAAAGTAATTTTAATCTGGGAGTTGTGGCACACACCTGTAATTCTAGCACTTAGGAAACTGAGGCAAAAAGGAGATGTGGGCGTTCAAGAATATCCTTTACTGTACAGTGAGAACTTATCTGAAAAAAGAAAAAAATGTTTTAGGTGCTAGAGAATACATTCTCTAGCTCAGTAGTAGACCTGGGGTCCATCCCCAGTACCGCAGAAGTATTATTCTAGGGCTCCCTGGGAAGGGAGCTGAAGTCCAGCTACCTTTAAGACACCTTGGAGTACGTTTTAGTTAGGTATCAAGATGTGCAAGATTCTCCCTGGATTTGTTTTCCTGGGTGTGTGCTTGCTCATCCTCAGGCCACTGTGCGCGCACACACACACAAGTTTACTGTTGGGAACAAGAGGGCATAAGGGGTTACCCAGTATGCATATCAGTGAGATGTTTGTTTGGTTTTGAGAACTGCGTAGCCTTGGTTAGCCTGGAACTCATTATGTAGACCAGGCTGACCTCTAACCCATAAAGATCTGCCTGCCTCTGCCTCCCGACTTCATCGCCATGCCCCGCTTCAGTTAAGTTTGATATACAGAGCTAAGCGAACGTTTAGAGTTAGCCTTTACTGTGCATCTGAGGATTTGGAAACCATGGATTCGGGAAGAATTTTCCTGATCGATGGCTCAGTTTTGAAATTTTACCCTTGCTAAGAGGTTCTTCAGATGTGTTAGGTAGCACTTAGTAGACAGAAAAAGAGGGAGATGGTCAGATGCAACTCAGTGGTACAAAACATGCTTGGGATGTGTGAGGTCTTAAGTTAAAGCCCTAAGACCAAAAAGAAAAAGATTTAGTCTTACTGTCATTTGTTTTCTAGAGAATTTCCCCTAAACTATCTATTTTGATAATTGAAATGTAATAGCTATGTTAATTTTACATGTATCTTTTCAAAAGTGTATTTTACAAAATAGTTATTGTATCATTTATTTCCTGACTACCAGATTGTAAATTCTTGGCAGGCAAGGTGGTAACACCTTTTTCTTCTCTAGTCAGTCAGTAGAGTTCTAGCTATTGTAGGTTTGCTGTAGATTGGATAGAATCCCTCCCTACTTCCAGTTACACTCTTCTTCTGTTCAGGAGAGAGCACAAGCTCAGGAAGAAAAGTAGCTCCGTGTTCTCTGGATATCTCAGACAAATTATTTTGTTCAGCCTGTGACCAGATCTTCCAGAACCACCAGGAACAGGTAAGGCCAGAGCATGGGGCTAGATGTTAGAAGCAGAGGTATGATGGTGGGGGTCGTTAAGCTTGGATTTACTTCAGTTAAGAAAGATCCAAACTTTGTCTACTGTACTTAGTGCTAGCCTCGTTATACTTCCTAGAGTCTGTGACTAGCTTTGCCTACTATACAAGCCCAAGATGCCTCCCTCTTTTCCTTTGTACCAGAGAGAACATTATAAGCTTGATTGGCATCGCTTTAACCTAAAACAACGTCTCAAGAACAAGCCTCCCCTGTCTGCTGTGGACTTTGAACAGCAAAGCTCTACAGGTAATGCTTGGTTTGGGAAAGCCTGTATTGGGTGTAAGAGGTCTGGGTGGAGAAGGCCACATGGGGTTTGAAGAAAGGTCAAGGGTGGAGTGTCAGCTTATACATCCGTATTTATCTTCAGGAGATCTTTCCAGCATCTCGGGATCAGAAGACTCAGATTCAACTAGTGAAGAGGATTCGCCGACACTGGATGAGAGAACTGAATTTGAGAAACCTAACCGACCCCGAGGATTCTACCCACATCGGGTCCTTTTCCAAAACACCCAGGGCCAGTTTCTTTATGCCTATCGATGTGTCCTAGGCCCTCACCAGGCAAGTTACAAAACAAGTTGTGTATTCAGTGCTTTCACACACGCACCCTAAGTTTTCTTTAGCCTGTGCATGTTTAATTCTTCCCTTTTGGGTAAGGAATTTTTTTTTTCTTTCTTTTTTGTTTTGTTTTTGTTTTTTTTGAGAGGGTTTCTGTGTAGCCTGGTTGTCCTGGGAATTGATATGTAGACCAGGCTGGCATCGAACCCAAAGCTCTGCCTGCCTCTGCCTTCCCAAATGCTGGGATGACAGGTGTGCGCCCCCGCGCCCACCTTAAGGCATAATTTTGACAGCATAATCTTGAATTGAAACTGGTCAGAATCTTGAAAGGGTCAAGTGCAATGGGATTGAGTCTACATTGTGATTCTGCCATTCCCATCTTTTACCAGTACCTCTCCAAGCCTCATATATCCTTTGTGAAATGGATGTGAGTCCAAGGTGATTATAATAAATGAGGTAATGCAAGTGTAACGCTTGGTTTCTTGTTCTCAGTGCGTGCACCGTGTGGAATGTTTCTGTCATATCTGCCATCTAGGTTCCCCCAGAAAAGGCAGAATTGCTGCTACAGAACCTGCAAAACGGAGGTCCCAGATACTACGTGGTGCTCATGGCTGCCGCTGGGCATTTTGCTGGTGCTGTTTTTCACGGGTGAGAGGGTGCTGCATGGGGTAAGGATGAACCCCATTAACCTGGGAGCACCACGTGGTGTCCGGTACTGAGTATGTGCCATCTACAGAAGAGAAGTGGTGGCACACAAAACCTTTCACCGTTATACCGTGCGGGCCAAGCGGGGCACAGCCCAGGGGCTTCAGGATGCCCAGGGTAGGCCATCACGCTCTGCTGGAGCCAACCTGAGGCGTTACAACGAAGCCATGCTATATAAGGTGAGGTAGGCCTCCCAGATCTGATAGCCCTCCGATCTCTCAGTTGTAGTTTTCTGCGTAGACAATAGGGATCTCTCATTGTTTCTGTCTTCCTTTCCTTTTGTGTGATCAAAGGCCATTGTTTGGTTTGGAGACTTTTCTAAGGTAACAAATGAAAACATGCTAAGTAGAGTTACTCTCTTTAGGATGTTCGTGACCTTCTGGCAGGGCCAACCTGGGCTAAAGCACTAGGGGAGGCTGACACAATACTGCTACATGCCCCACGCTCTGGCCGGTCCTTGTTCTTTGGAGGCCAGGGAGCACCCCTACAAAGGGATGATTCCCGACTTTGGGATATCCCCCTCACCACCCGCAGACCCACTTTTGGAGAGCTTCAACGTGTACTCCATAAGCTGACTACCTTGCAGGTGTATGGTGAGCTATTCCAAACCTTGGGACCTCATACACAGGCATGTGTATTCATGGGGTTTTCTGGCTCATGGACTGCAGCTCAACTGACCTGAGCTGGCTTCTCCATACCTAAGTTTGAAAAAGAATTTTTTGGTTCGTGGCAGATGAAGACCCTCGAGAACTAGCCACATTTCACTCACCTGAGACATACTGGAAACCAGTGAGAAAGAGCAAAATGGCTGCTGGGAAAGAAGAAACAAAGGTCCCCAGTGATACAGATAAGGAACTTGAGCAGGATGAAGAATCACTCAGACAAGGTTTGTGTACCTTCTTATATAGTCAAATATATCTGCATGTCTGCCTTGGAAATGCAGTGGCCAGTTCTCATTACTGACCCATTGACCAGTTGGTAGGTGAGCCCTTAAACCACGCCCATAGCCATCCACTCATCCCCACAAGCAGCTGTTTGTAAAAGAAGGTATGTTGTAGTGAGAAAACTTTTTTTTTCTTTTGAGTGCCCCACTTCAGCCCAGCCTGGTCTAGAACTCAGTGTAGCCCAAACTGGCCTTGAAATCACAGCAGTCTTCCTGCCTCAGCCTCCCAAATGCTGGGATGGCACACATGAACTACCCCATCAAGCTGCTTATTGAGGCAGGGTCTTTGCTGTCTAGCCCAGGCTGGCATGGAGCTCTCTATGTGTCCCAGGCTGATCTGGAATTCACTGTCCTTCTGCTTCTCATATCTGAATGCTGGGATGCACTACCATATCCATCAGCTAAGACATGTTTAGTCACCTTGCCAAATGTTACTACTGCTCATAGATAATTCCTGGTACTTAGGATGGAGGGAATGAATGTGTTGAGTTTGATTGGATGCTGTGTTTTGGGCTACTGGTTGCTTTCCTCTACTTTGTTTTTTGAGGATTTTTGTGGTGGTTGTTTGAGACAGGATCTTACTATGTAAACCAGGCTGGCCTCAAACTTTCAGAGATCCACCTGCCTCTGCCACCCAAGTGCTGGCGTTAAAGGCATGTACCAGCACACTGGTGTTTGTATTTGTTTTGTCCTAATGCTGCCCATTGGGAGAGTCCAGGGACAGAATGAAAACACTTCATTTCAGGATGATCTGGAATATCTTTTTATAAATCCGAGGGCGCCCACATCTACACCCTCTCCCTAGTCCTTATGTAGATCTAATGTCATATTTTTTCCTAGGTTCAGAGTCTCAGGAAGAAGAAGGTTCCCAAGTAGAGTTGGAGCTAGTAGAATTGACACTGGGGACCCTCAATCTTCGTGAATTTGAGGTATTGCCCAAGCGGAGGAGGAGGAAAAAGGAGAGAAATCAAGACCGGCAGTGTGGGGCACATGTGACTCCTCTTCAGCAACCTCAAGAAAATGAGCCATTCTCACAGCCAGCCCAAGTGGTTACGACCCCAGTGGACGCTTTGGTTGATGAGGCTAAAGCCACTGGTCAGCCAGAGCTCTGGGATACGCTTCTAGCTGCTTGCCGAGCTGGGGAAATTGAGGTGCTAAAGCTGCAACTCGCCACTGGGCCTGTAGACCCTGGAGTTATGTCCCTACTCAATGCCCCTTTGGGATCTGGTGGCTTTACTCTCCTGCATGCCGCAGCCGCAGCTGGAAGAGGCTTAGTAGTTCGCCTGCTTTTGGAGGCAGGTGCTGACCCCACTGTGCAGTAAGTATCTCCACCCCGAGCCAGTTTAGGTAGAGAGCATAACATGGTAGCTCATGTTGGCACTTGATCCTTGGGTGATGCCAGGAAAAACAGGAGGCAAGTTGAACTCAGTTTTGTGTTTTTGTCCTTAGGGACTCTAGGGCTCGGCCACCTTATACCGTAGCAGCTGACAAATCAACGCGTAATGAATTCCGAAGGTTCATGGAGAAGAATCTTGATGCCTATGATTATAACAAGGCTCGGGTGAGCTGGAAAAGGAGCTACAGAGTGGGAGGGCATCATAGATTCTCATTAGGTCCTTTCTACTTCCTTGTAGTTTTACAGTGTCTTTGGGTAATCCTCCAGGTTCCAGGGCCACTGACTCAAGAGATGGAGGCCCGGCAGGCTACAAGGAAAAAGGAGCAGAAGGCAGCTCGACGGCGACGGGAGCAACAGCAGCTGAAGCAGAAGGAGCAGGAAGAACAGGAGCTAGAAGAGCGACGGCGATTTGCTGCCCTCAGTGACCGAGAGAAGGTGAGGCTGTAGATTCTTGTGCTACAAGGCTTCCATAAGAGCCTACCTCCCGTCCCCACATGGAGCTGCATGCTGTTCACCTCTGGGACTTGTCTGTCACAGCTTTTCTGTTTTGCAGAGAGCTCTGGCTGCAGAACGCCGGCTTGCTGCCCAGTTGGGAACCCCTTGCTCTCCAGTTCCTGACCCTGCAGTTGTCAATGCCGGGTACGGGGCCAGGGGATGAGTTAAAGGGTGGGTAAGGGGAACGAGTACCTTCATGGTGTTCAGAAGGGTCATGGAGGGGACTTGAGATTCCCTGGGACCTTTAAGGACTGGGCAATGTCTAGATGGGAAAGATGTGGAGTACCTGTCCACTCATTTTTCTTCCTTATGTTCAGGCGCTGTTGGAGTTGTGGAGTGTCCCTCCAAGGCCTCGTTCCTTTTCACTACCTCAACTTCTCTTTCTGCTCCACACGTTGCCTCCGAGATCATCGCAGTCAGGCAGGGAAGCCTTCTTCCTGATTTCTTACAGCCAACTGGGGCCAACTGTGGGCCCTGAGAGGACATATCCAGACGTAGAGCTCTCTTTCCTTCTTGTGAAGCTCAACATTATTTGGAAGATGGGGGTGAAGGACACTCAGGAACCAGGGCAAAGACAGGGCCACGGAGGTGTGTGGAGCCAGTACTGTCTTTGGAATTTTAATCACAGTAAAGTTTGGAAAGGAAACTGTATGTGTACTTACATTCAGAGGGATTGTAGCCTTTGATTCTTATGGTCACTGTGGCCTGCACCAAGGGATCCTGCCCTGTGTCCCAGACTCAAGGGTAATCTTTCTTCAGTGCCCACTTAACTCCATTGGTTCATATGACTTTTGTTGCTCTGAGAGAACATAGGTATACCCCCAATGCAAAGTGCTATTGAGGATAGGTGTATCCAAAAATTGGATTTTTGGGTCATGAGGCACATTTTCTAGTTCCAGCAAAGTGATTTTGTTGATTGATCTGCTAAACAGCAGAAGTCTTGGCACATAGAGGGTCTGTTGTGGGCCCCGGTTTGTCCAATATCGGCCCAAGTTAAACCCATTGATCCACACTTGGCCCTGGAGGAAGGGACAGAGTGGAAAAACAAAGGGTCAGCCCTCTACAGGGTGGATTCACCCCCTTCCAAGTTTCTAATCAGATTACTAATTCCTGTTCCCACTTAGTTTTTCTTGCATGTGCCCCCACAATTCCTACTACCACCATTAGCAATACCTTGGTCCAGCCAGGTAGATAGAGAAACGTGTCCCCAAGTAAGCCTACAATTGAAAACGTCGTGGAGTAGAAGGCAGGGACAGAGGAAGCTTCAGGCTGTGCTCTTTTCAGCAGCTGCAGGGGGAACCACCACCTCACAAGCTTATCAACTTTGAGAGGGAATATCATCCACTCGGTGAGGATTGTCTGCCCCAGAAGTGGTGGTTCTAACAGGCCCTGTAGGGAAGCAGATGAAAAGTCATTCACTGAGTTGGGTCCCACAGTGTAAGTGGCCATGTCCACATCCTCAAGCGCTGTTCCTCTGCCTAAGCCTGAGGACAGAGTTCTTCCATTAGGTGTTGTTCAAGAGAGGTGGTCAGGAAGGGTATTGTGGAAGAACAGACAGAAGCAGCTCACCTTGAAGTCACTGTGGTTAGACCCGAAGCTGAGCCTCCCCATATTCTCCAGCAATATGTCCAGCTTGGCTCCTGCCTTCACAGTCAGGTACAGTTGGTGTTTCAAGTTCCGCTCCAGAACACCCTTGAATACCTGTGGATAAGAGATAGGTTCTTGCTGGACAACATGCAGGTAATCCCAGCCCTCAAGGAGGTAGAGGCAGGAGGATCTCTGTGAATTCAAGGCCAGCCTGACCTTCAAAGTAAGACCAGGACAGCCAAGGCTACACAGAGAAACCCTGTCTCGAAAAAAAACAAAAAAGCTGGGGGAGGGGGAAGGAGGTGCTCTGGTAAACCAAGGGCCACTACACAGTGAGTCACATTGAACACTTTGCAGGGCAAGGAGAATCTTGTTGGCTATCATTCTGCTTTTTTGAGACAGGGTCTCTATATAGTCCAGACTGCCAAAATTCACTATATAGCCCAGGCTTGTGATTTCCCTGCTTCAGCCTACTGAGTGCTAGGATGCAGGTATGCCCCATCGTGTTCCTAGCTTAAAAACTATCCTTAACTATGATCTCCCCTCATCCCAGCTTATGTGGGCAGACAGGTGGGGAAGGGATGGAGATGGGAAACTTCAAAGCTATAGTGTGTTTCAGGAGGGAATGAAAGTGAGATCGTAAGTTGATTAGGAATTAGATTCTTACCCCATCTACCATCACATAGGCACGGTCATGAACTCCATTATTTGGCACCCAGAATGGTGTTGGTTTAAAAACAGAGTAAGTCATATAGGTACGGTACAACATAAAGCCATGGTCCTAGATACAGAAGGATGAGTACTTTTAAGATGAACTGTGACAAGAGGAGGAACTGGGAGGAAGACTAGCAGCAAAAGGGACTTTTGGCTGTAGCTCTCGGAGGAGCCTGCCATTCCCATCAGATGTGAGTTTATGCCTTACCTGCTTGACAGCCTCAAAGGTCAATGGCAAAACTGAATGGATGGGGCCGTGGGGGCAGAGAAAGTCTAGGAAAGCCAGTAAATTCCCATCCTGTGAACACAAAGGGCAACCAAACTGCTCAGTTTCTGAATTGAGGGCTGCTCAGGATAACTGGTTCAGAAAACAAAATGATACAAAATTTAAAAAAAGGGGGGGGGGGCTTACCAGGTTCATAGTCAAAGGTCCAAGCTTCATCTTGGGGCTCGGAGGAGGTAAAGGTCCCAAGGGAATTTCCTGGAACTGAGCCCAGATTCTCTCAGTAGTCATAGGAAAATCAAAATAATCCAAGGCTCTAAAAGGCCCTTGACCTGGAACCCAGGGATGGGCTGCAGGGAGCCATGAAGACCCTATCATGTTTCTCATGTGTAATTCCCCAGATGGACCTATGTGAGTGGGAAATGCTTCATTGAAAGCTAAAGGACTCTGTTGGCCACACACGCACCACCAGTTTGTAGGGCTCCTTTACAATGTGGGTACTCTCCCTTCTCCCCAATTAATAAAAGGGCACCTTGCTGATGACACTTCGAATAGCAAAAAGCTTAGGTGTGGGGTCCCCTGCTTCAGATATGGGTGCATCGTAGTCGTAGCTGGTAGTGATTGGAAGGAAGCGTCCCTTCTCGTCAGCACCTGGGTTAAAGCAATTGAATTAATTCAGCACTGTCCTAGGTGATAAGCACCAGGCACAGGGCCTTGTGCAGAGGGTAGTGGTAGTCACACACAGCTACACATCCTGATCTGTCCAGCCCAAGATTCCAATTCTTTGTTTCCTCCCTGCTTCCACCACAGGCATGGTACTCACCATTCCAGTATCCAAAGTTAGTGCCTCCATGGAACATATACCTAAAGTGGGGGTGGGCGGGAAGAGAGGGCAAAATCTGACCTATGGAATCTTAACTTTAAACCCCAGCTCCCAGGAACAGATTGTGTCTCCAGTTACATGTTCACACTGGCTCCCATCTTGAGCATTTTTTCTAGGGCGTGGGCAATAGTTGGACTGGACCGTGTGGAATGATTTTGGCCCCAGTAATCCAGCCAGCCTGTATAGTACTCAGAGTTCACCTAGAGGGAGAAGCGAAAGGAGCCACAGTGAGGTGAGAACGAGCTGGGCCCATTCCAGACAGATTATTTTTCTCATTCCCCTTTCTGATGGCCTCTCACCAATGGCCCATGGGGTTCATAATTCCGAAGTATGGAAAATATTTTGGTTACATTGTCAGCTGCAAAAAGAAACAAGGGTAAAGAAAAAACCCCCAATATCACAGAGGAGGTGCCCATGCCCCAGATTCTACTCCCAACCCTTCTTTAGGAGACCTGGGCCAAAATCTACAGTGGTGTAGAGGCCCTGAAGGGAACCACATTTGAGTCCATGAGGCCCATCTGTGGTGAAGAGTAAGATCTTGTCTCCTAGTAATGCACGGAAGAGGCCGGCCAAGTGTTTCATGTACTTGAAGTCACAGGCCTTGTAGCTACCGTATTCATTCTCCACCTGCCAGGAGAAAGGAAGAAGAGCCCAGGTGTGAGACAAAGAAGGTTAAGGCCACCTTGTACCTACTTCTCTTGCCCAGCCCACTTCCCATTCATACCTGAATGCTAATGATGTTTCCCCCATTGTGGTAGAGAAATGGATATATCTTCGGCAGCAAGACCTCGAACCAGGAGTCCACAGCAGCAAGGAAGGCTAAAGGAAGGAGTGGTGTGTTCTGCTTTTTGGGGGACACGACCTTTACAGCTCACGCCTCTTCCAGCATCCCTGATAGGTCCAAGGTGCTAACTCTGGGCCATTGCTTCCCTTTCCCTGGCCCACAACTAAATCTAGAGCACTGACTTTTTAAAAAACATTATTATTTTTATTTTTATGTGTATGAGTTTTGCCTGCATATATGTCTTTGCACCATGTGCTTGGTGACTGCAGAGGAGGCTAGAAGAAGGGTTTAAATCTTCTGGAACTGGAGTTACAGACAGTTGTGAGCCACCGTGTGGGTGCTGGAAATCAAACTGGGTCCTCTAGAAGAACAGTCAGTGCTCTGATGAGCTGAGCCACCACTCCAGTCTCAGGAGCAGTGACTTAGAAAAGACTCTAGAGCACAGTAGTAGTTCCTAAGACTCTTTGTAAAGAAAAGGCTAAACATATAGCATGGAGCTATTATATAATCACCTTGCACCTGAGAGTGTTGTAAAAGCTCACAGAAAAGTAGTCTTTGACCTGTATGGACTCTGTAATCCCAGCGCTCTGGAAGGCAGAGGCAGGCAGATCTCTGAGTTAGAGGCCAGCCTGGTCTAAAAGTGAGTCCAGGACAGCCAAGGCTACACAGAGAAATGCTGTCTCAAAAAAAGAAAGAAAAGGAGAAAAGGAAAGCCCAAGTGATTTCATGCCTTAAATTCTCAACTCCTACTTAATACTTTTACGATTTCCTCAATGACTTCATGCATGTTATATCCTGTACCCAATACTTTTTCTCCCATCCTTTTTGCCTAGCCCTAATTTATGTCTCAATTCTTTCTTTATGCTCATGTTTTAAAATTACATCTATCTATCTATCTATCTATCTATCTATCTATCTATCTATCTATC